TCATTCTTCCGCTCTACGCTAATTAGGCCTCGACTGGAGTTATTGTGTCCAGTTATGGGCACCACAATCAAGAAAGATGAGGAGAAACTGGAGAAGTTCCAGGGAAGAGCAACAAGAATGATTAAAGGTCTAGAGAACATGACCTATGTAGGAAGACTGAAAGAATTGGGCTTGTTTAGTTTGGAAAGGAGATGACTGAGAGGGGACATAGAATCATAGAATACTAGGACTGGAAGGGACCTCGAGAGGTCATTGGGTCCAGTCCCCTGCCTTCATGGCATGACCAAATACTGCCTAGACCATCCCTGATAGACATTTGTCTAACCTACTCTTAAATATCTCCACAGATGGAGATTCCACCACCTCCCTGGGCAATTTATTCCAGTGTTTGACTACCCTGACAATTAGGAACTTTTTCCTAATGTCCAACTTAATCCTCCCTTGCTGCAGTTTAAGCCCATTGCTTTTTGTTCTATCCCCAGAAGCCAAGATGAACAAGTTTTCTCCCTCCTCGTTATGACACCCTTTTAGATATCTGAAAACTGCTATCATTGTCCCCCCTCAATCTTCTCTTTTCTAAACTAAACAAACCCAATTCCTTCAGTCTTCCCTCATAGGTCATGTTCTCTAGACCTTTAATCATTCTCGTTGCTCTTCTCTGACCCTCTCCAATTTCTCTTCATCTTTCTTGAAATGCGGTGCCCAGAACTGAACACAATACTCCAACTGAGGCCTAACCAGCGCAGAGCAGAGCAGAAGAATGACTTCTTGTGTCTTGCTCACAACACACCTGTTAATGCATCCCAGAATCACGTTTGCTTTCTTTGCAACAGCATCACACTGCTGACTCATAATTAACATAGCGGTTTTCAAAGGGTGTGACAAGCAGAAGGGAGAAAATTGTTCTCCTTGGCCTCTGAGGATAGGATAAGAAGCAAGGGGCTTAAACTGCAGCAAGGTAGGTTTAAGGTTGGACATTAGGAAAAACTTCCTGCCTGTCAGGGTGGTTAAGCACAGGAATAAATTGCCTAAGGAGGCTGTGGAATCTCCATCACTGTAGATATTTAAGAGCAGGTTAGACAGATACCTGTCAGGGATGATATAAACTATAGGTTCCCAAACTGGGGGGCACGCCCCCCTGGGGGTGTGTGAAGAAATTCCATGGGGAGGCGGCGCAAGGTGACCCAGCCTCTCCCCACCTCCTTCCCTCCCCCCCAAGAAAGAGCCCGGTCCATCCCGTAAAAAAAAATCAGAAAATACCATTTGAAATGTCTAGTATTTTCTGTTTTTCTTGGCTCGGGTGTCTGCTGGAACATGTGCCGCTTGGGCTGGCAGGGGCTGGGGGAAGATGGAGCATCCTGGGCAGACTTCAAAATGGCCACATTAAAAGGGCAATGCCTGCTCTGCTCTTTTACCCTGGAGTACTGGCACCTTTTTTGACACTGATCAATTCCTTTTATTTTTTATTCCTCAACAAGTTTTGCAAAAACTTGAGGGTTTCTCAAAAATCAAAAAGGGGGTGTGATGCCAAAAAGTTTGGGAACCACTGGTCTAGACAGTACTTAGTCCTGCCAAGAGGGCAGGGGACTGGACTCGATGACCTCTCGAGGTCCCTTCCAGTTCTACTGTTCTATGATTCTATGATAATAGGTAGCAGGTATAAAAAAAACAAAAGGAAGTTTTTCATCACACAACGCACAGTCAACCTGTGGAACTCCTTGCCAGAGGAAGTTGTGAAGACCAGGACTTTAACAGGGTCCAAAAAAGAGCTAGATACATTCACAGAGGTTAAGTCCATCAATGTCTATTAGCCAGGACAGGTAGGAATGGTGTCCCTAGCCGCTGTTTATTAGAGGCTGGAAATGGATGACAGGAGAGGGATCATATGATAATTCTCTGTTCTGTTCACTCCCTCTGGGATACCTGGCATTGACCACTGTTGGCAGATGGGATACTGGGCCAGATGGACCTTTGGTCTGACCCAGTGTGTTCATTCTTATGTTATTATCTCACTACGGGACCTCATTTTTCAGGGTCCCAGGCCTTTCAAAAAGAAACACACAGTAAAAGCATTTGGATCAAAAATTCTCACTGTTTCCATCTCACAGCACTTCCAATGACTAATTCCTAGAGAGAGATACTGGGGTCCTCTTCGGAGTAGAGGAATTTGTGCACAGCCTCCTACACGGAGCAGCAAGAGCATTTTCTGCTGACAGGATTGTGCACAACCACAAGATTATGACGTAATTTACACTCTGACCAGACTGCATTCAGACAGCCAAAGAGTTCCATTGGGATCCTTTCAGGATAACTTTCTATCCTGGTATCATGTTTGACATCATTCCATTACAGAAAACAGTGCCAGTCTCTAATCCAACAGACACTTGGTCTGCAGATCACTCTTCTATGTAGATAAAATGGGGCAGTGGTTACACTGCTAGCCTGGGACTTGTGGAATCTAGGTTCAATTTCCCCCACTATCAGACTTCCTGTGTGACTGTGGGCAAGTCTCATGGTCTCTCTCTGCCTCAGTTTCCAGCTGTAAAATTAAGATTATAGTACATCCCTTTGTCTCTGGAGTGTTGTGAGGTGCAGTATTATTATGGTAATGGGGGTCAGAGACAGTTGTAAAATGATGTGTGAAAGGTCAAGCGACTATTCAAAATGGAATTTAGGGGTTAATCTGCAGTTACCCATATAGGAACATTCATAATACTCCATTTTCAAAGGGCCAAAGTCTCATTCCTGGTCAGAACCTAAGGACAGGGACTGAGTGGAAAGGGATCTCGAAGAGAGAAATTACATACCCATGTCTGCAAACTCAGGGCGCTGGGAGCTGTTGCACCTAAACACGCAAGGGAAATAGGCTGCTGCAGTGCTCCTGTTTTACTCTATTATAAATAAGGACAAATGCAAAGTACTCCACTTAGGAAGGAACAATCCATTTCACATATACAGAATGGGAAGCGACTGTCTAGGAAAGAGTACTGCAGAAAGAGATCTCGGGGGTCACAGTGGACCACAAGCTAAATATGAGTCAATAGTGTGACAGTGTTGCAAAAAAAGCAAACATGATTCTGGGGTATATTAACAGGAGTGTTGTGAGCAAGACATGAGAAGACATTCTTCCGCTCTACTCTGCGCTGATTAGGCCTCCATAGGAGTATTGTGTTCAGTTCTGGCCATCACATTTCAAGAAAGATGTGGAGAAGGTCCAGAGAAGAATAACAAGAATGATTAAAGGTCTAGAAGAGTACATGAGCTATGAGGGAAGACTGAAAGAACTGGGCTTGTTTACTTTAGAAAAGAGAAGACTGAGAGGGGACATGATAGTGGTTTTCAGGTATCTAACAGGGTGTGACAAGGAGGAGAGAGAAAAATTGTTCTCCTTGGCCTCTGAGGATAGAGGAGACAAGAGGATAGACATGAAGCAATGGGCTTAAACTGCAGCAAGAGAGGTTTAGGTTAGCAGCCCTTTAGGAAAAACTTCCTAACTGTCAGGGTGGTTAAACACTGGAATAAATTGCCTAGGGAGGTTGTGGAGATAAATTGCCTAGGGATATTGGAGATATTTAAGAGCAAGTTAGACAAACATTTGTCAAGGATGGTTTAACTCTAGACTGTGCTTGGAATCCTGCCATGAAGACAGGGGACAGGACTCAATGACCTCTTGAGGTCCCTTCCACTTCTAGTGTTCTATGATTCTATTGTTCTATGATTGTTGATAATGTGCTGAGGGCTGCAGATGACAAAAATATTGTCAATTAGAGTGTCCATGTTAAATGAGCTAACAGAATGGGCTCTAAGTCTTCTAGGTACCTGGCATTTGGCTTTTATTTTATCCTTGACTAGGACAAAGGATTAATGGACACAAATCAGATATTTGAAATGGTAACACACAGAAACCTGTTGGGGAACATTTTCAACTTGCCCAGATACTCACTAATGCATCTAAAAGTGTCTGTATTTTCAAAGCAATTTGAAAAGCCAGCTTGAAAGGGAAACTGTGGAACTTGGTTTCATTTATAAGTTTGACACCTTGAACAGAGGTTTAAACAAAGACCTGACGTGTATGAGTCGCTACATTCCACATCCTAATGACATAAAAAGCCAAACACTGGGTACTTAGACTACTTAGAGCCCACTATATTAGCCTCATTTTGCATGGACACTCTAATTGACAGTATTTTTTCTCAATTTTTCCCCCCTTTTCTGTCCCTCCCCATTCCCTTCTCTTTCTCTGGTATTTATTGGTATCCTGGACCCCTTAATTCCATCCATCTGAAGAAGTGGGTTGTGCCCACGAAAGCTCATGATGCCATCTACATGTTTTGTTAGTCTCTAAGGTGCTGCAGGACTATTCATTGTTGTTTTTTTTAATTTTTCAGTTACAGAGTTACACTGCTATCCCTCTAAAGCTTTTGTACAGAGAAAAGGTCTTTTGTTTCCAGGGTCAAACATGTGTTTCTAGTTACACAAATATTAGATCTGGTCAACTAGCAAAAGGGACTGGTACCTGGGGATCCTGCAGCTGCGCGCCAAGGCCCAGGAAGTGCGCAGGCTGCTCTCTCATCCCCCAAACAGTGGCGTGATACCTGAAATGCTGGTCTGTCAAGCGCCTGATGCCTTCCTGCACGGGGGAAGGGGAAGTCCCAGACTGCGCCAGCTGGAGCTGGCATGCTGGAGACTTTATTCCCCTGCTGCCTTCCTGAGTGGCAGGGGGCGGGGGGGGGGGGGGGGGGGGGGGGGGGGGCAACCCCCCAGCCTGCCCCAGACACAGGGAACATGGCAGAACGCATCGCCTGAGCAGCTGAAGCTGGCATGCTGGGATCTTTATTCCTCTGCTGTCTTCCTGCGCTGGTAGTAGCAGCGGAGAGGTGGGTGGGAGCAAGGGAGGCTGCAGCGAAGCAGCCTGTTCATAGCCAGCTGACGGGTTGGTGACCATGGACTTAAGCTACTACATGTGGATGGGCTGTGTGTTACTAAGGCAGGAACGCATCGCCTGAGCAGCTGAAGCTGGCATGCTGGGATCTTTATTCCTCTGCTGTCTTCCTGCGCTGGTAGTAGCAGCGGAGAGGTGGGTGGGAGCAAGGGAGGCTGCAGCGAAGCAGCCTGTTCATAGCCAGCTGACGGGTTGGTGACCATGGACTTAAGCTACTACATGTGGATGGGCTGTGTGTTACTAAGGCAGCAACAGGGCAGAGCTCTAAAGATATTGCATCTGGTATCATTTGATTACGGAAAACTTTGCCAGTCTCTGCTCCAACAGACCCTGAACCCGTAGAGCATCTTGTGACCTAAAAAGGATCCTCTGAAAAGGAGTCAAAATTTCATTTATATTAGTGGTGAAAGTCAAATCTGCAAAAGAGCTAATGGGAGAGTTTCCTACAGTCTCTCCACCGGTGTGACACATCCCCACCCATCAGAATGCTCTGACGCATCATTAGGAGCTGTTTAGTGTTTTAAATGCAGGACCAGTTATTTGTAAGGCCTCAAAAATCTGGAAACTTTAGAGCGCAGCAGACGAAAGAAGGATCGTGGGAACATCTGTCTAGACTCTTGTGTACTTGAAGTAGTTCTGCGGATGTGCTAAGACATCAAACAACGCCTTAATCAGCTTCTTATCCTGAAAAGGGGAAGGCAGATGTTTACTGTCAAAGAACAGACTAATTACACTGACACTTAATCATCAATGAGTCCATAACATTGTTTTAATAGAGGCAAAGGCTTGCACATTTTACTTTCCGGCCACTACTGTGGGCTCTCAGATCTGCACAGCTAAAGTGAAAAGCTGGTAGAATCTTGCCACTGATTTCACCCCTCCTGGTCTTCATTTCAATGCTAGCAGATTCAAGTATGTCCAGAAAGAGTTGAGTTCTGACAAGAGAAATGTGCTTTTCACTCCACTTGTCAGAGTACGTGGGGTCTGTGCAAGGTGGAATATAACGTGTGTCAGAAAAGCAGTTAGCCTCTCCAATTCAGGGCTAGTAACTGCAGGACTCTCCCTCCCTCCCTCTCACAAGGCTGCTATAATGTATGCTAAAATAGCAGCATTGTCTCTCTATTCCAGTTGGGCAAGGCACTGAATCCAAACAGATGTGAGACTATGTCCCCACACCTAGCTTGCTCCCACTCTTCCAAGGCGACCTATGTGAGGCCAGCCTGGAGATCCTATTCCTGGTGATTAAAAAGAGATGTACAGGCCCCTTTGTGTAGCAGCTATATCAACAGTTCTCCTAGGCAGGGGGCTTCACTGATGCTGAGTCCTGGGAAGGGATGTGGCCAGAGATGAGCATGCACTGATTTAGCTTTTTGCTGCAGTGGTTTGTACTTATTAGCTAGCATCAAGATCATGAAAGGCCTGAAAGACGCTCATGCAGACTCCCCCAGAGAAGGCCTCAGTGGCATGAATCCCATGTTGGGAAGTAGCTTCACTAGTACAAGAAAGTGTGATTGTCAATTTTGTATTAATCGCTCCATTAATTCTCATACTAAAGATATGAGAGAGGAAATTTACCTTAAGTATCTCTTGATGATTTTCAGATGCAGAGTCTACCATCCCGAACTATGTCTTCTATTAGCTCCTGGTATCCCTCTGTTGGGGACACAGAGTATAATCATCTGTCAGACTCAGCAGCATAATAAGGGCCAAATTCTTCCCTTGACACACAGGTAAGAAGCTGCCCACTGGATGGCAACAGGAGAGGTGGCGGACGCGTTGGTTCACATGTAATATCAAACATCTGGCTCTCAGATGAGCAATCTTTGGTATTCCAAATGGCCATCTCTAACTACACTGTGCTATGTATTAAGAGGACACAAGCACAGCTGTTCATCATTAATCAGGGAAAGGCAAGAGAAAGCAGCTGCCTGGGACAGCTCTATGCACTGTAAGCACGTGGCATGCTTCAAACTCATTTTGTTGCTACAGACATCCACACAAAATCCATCTTCACAAATGTTGAATCTTTTTCTTTCTTTATATAATCAAAAACTTCCTTAAAGGGAAGGTACAGCTGGTCCAGGACAAAACTCTCCCAGGCAATAAAAGCCTTAAAAGGAAGGAAACTCCAAACTTATAGCAAGTTCTTCTCAACCAATGAATTACCCACTACTGGTGAGATGCTGCAACACACCACCTCCCTCCCCCAAAGGGTCTACTGCTCCCATTGGGTACAGAAACATGACAAAGCCTTGACTCCAATCTCACCATATTTGGCCATTTCAGGGATGAAGATTTCAGTGCATAAGTCTTTATGTGGAGAAATGTCACGCCAACACATTATTTATTTGTACTGTAGCAGAGCTTACAGGCTGAGACCTTTCTGTGCTAGGTACTTGCCAGTCATGGAATCATAGAATCCTAGGGCTGCAAGAGACCTCAGAAGGTCATCAAGTCCAGCCCCCTGCTCGAAGCAGGACCAACCCTAACCCTAACCCATCCCAGCCATATAACAAAGAGACAAGAGCAAACCACCAAAGCATCAGAGCAGGACAGGATATATACGGACAGGTTGCACAAGGACACTAAGGCCGTGTCCAGACTCAGGGGTTCTTTCGAAAAAAGTAGCCTTTTTTCGAAAGAACTTCCCCTGCGTCCAGACTCAAGCCGCGTTCTTTCGAAATTATTTCGAAAGAACGTGGCTTTTCTTTCGATGGCGGTAAACCTCAATTTACGAGGAAGAACGCCTTCCTTCGAAAGTTCCTCTTTCGAAAGAAGGCGTTCTTCAATGTAAAGAGGCCGTCTTCGAAAGAGAGCATCCAGACTCGCTGGGTGCTCTCTTTCGAAAAAGCGGATCTCTCTTTCGAAAGATCCGCCTGCAGTCTAGACGCGATCTTTCGAAAGAGGCTCTTTCGAAAGATGCTTTCGAAAGAGCCTCTTTCGAAAGAAGCCTGCAGTCTAGACATAGCCTAAGAGACAACACAAGTCAGAAAAACCAGAAGTGGGTCACAAGCCAGCTGCCTAATTGCTGTTAAGTTTCAATAGGCAACTGGCAGACGGAAGTTTTAAGCAGGGATTGAAAGGACACTGAGATAGCTTTGTCATATTTAGAGAGAGCAGTTTCCAGGCATAAGGGGAGAAAGTACAAAGAAGCTAGTTAGGAAATTTTACAAGCTGACAGACTGCCATAATCTGTAATACAGAGGTGGGAATTGATGTAATTGCATATAAACAAGTCTTCTATTTATCTAACCGCCCAGCTAAGTGAATGTAATGTCCCCAGTTACAGTCAGATAAGCATAGCAGCATATATTCTGGCACTAGACGTACACAGATTTTTACAATGTATACATATGCAAAAGGGTTCTATGTTAGATGCAAAGTGCACTAATAAGAAAGAAAAGCAGATTATAATAGAAGTAAAATCAGTCTAACTCAATGCTTTGATTGTCACACTTTAAGAAATACTCAGAATATCATGCAGGCATAAGAACATAAGAACGGCCGTACTGGGTCAGACCAAAGGTCCATCTAGCCCAGCATCCTGTCTTCCGACAGTGGCCAGCACCAGGTGCCCCAGAGAGGGTGGACCGAAGACAATGATCAGGCGATTTGTCTCCAGCCATCTCTCTCCAGCCTCTGACAAACAGAGGCCAAGGACACCATTTTATCCCCTGGCTAATAGCCTTTTATGGACCTAACCTCCATGAATTTATCCAGCTTCTCTTTAAACTCTATTATAGTCCTAGCCTTCACAGCCTCCTCTGGCAAGGAGTTCCACAGGTTGACTACACGCTGTGTGAAGAAGAACTTACTTTTATTAGTTTTAAACCTGCTACCCATTAACTTCATTTGGTGTCCTCTAGTTCTTCTATTATGGAACTAATAAATAACTTTTCTTTATCAGCCCTCTCCACACCACTCATGATTTTATAGACCTCTATCATATCCCCCCTCAGTCTCCTCTTTTCTAAACTGAAAAGTCCCAGTCGCTTTAACCTCTCCTCATATGGGACCCGTTCCAAACCCCTAATCATTTTAGTTGCCCTTTTCTGAACCCTTTCCAAGGCCAAAATATCTTTTTTGAGGTGAGGAGACCACATCTGTACACAGTATTCAAGATGTGGGCGTACCATAGTTTTATACAGGGGCAGTAAGATATTCTGGGTCTTATTTTCTATCCCTTTCCTAATAATTCCTAGCATCCTATTTGCCTTTTTGACAGCCGCTTCACACTGCGTGGAAGTTTTCAGAGAACTGTCCACGATAACTCCAAGATCTCTTTCCTGATTTGTCGTAGCCAAATTAGCCCCCATCATACTGTACGTATAGTTGGAGTTATTTTTCCCGATGTGCATTACTTTACACTTATCCACATTAAATTTCATTTGCCATTTTGTTGCCCAATCACTCAGTTTGGTGAGATCTTCTTGGAGTCCCTCACAGTCTGCTTCTGTCTTGACTATCCTAAACAGTTTGGTATCATCTGCAAACTTTACTACCTCACTGCTTACCCCTTTCTCCAGATCATTTATGAATAAGTTGAAAAGGATTGGTCCCAGGACTGACCCTTGGGGTACACCACTAGTTACCCCTCTCCAATCTGAAAATTTACCATTTATTCCTACCCTTTGTTTCCTGTCTTTTAACCAGTTCTCAATCCAAGAAAGGACCTTCCCTCTTATCCCATGGCCATGTAATTTACACAAGAGCCTTTGGTGAGGGACCTTGTCAAAGGCTTTCTGAAAATCCAAGTATACTATATCTACTGGATCCCCCTTGTCCGCATGTTTGTTAACCCCTTCAAAGAACTCTAACAGATTAGTAAGACAGGATTTCCCTTTACAGAAACCATGTTGACTTTTGTCCAACAAATTATGTTCTTCTACATGCTTCACAATTTTATTCTTTACTATTGTTTCGACTACTTTGCCCGGTACTGAAGTTAGACTTACCGGTCTGTAATTGCCAGGATTGCCTTTAGAGCCCTTTTTAAATATTGGTGTCACGTTGGCTACCTTCCAGTCATTAGGTACGGAAGCCGATTTAAAGGATAGGTTACAAACCACAGATAATAGCTCAGCAATTTCCCATTTAAGTTCTTTTAGAACCCTTGGATGAATGCCATCCGGTCCCGGAGATTTGTTAACATTAAGTTTTTCTATTTGTTCCAAAACTTCCTCTAATGACACTTCAATCCGGGACAGTTCCTCAGATTCATCACCCACAAAGGACGGTGCAGATTCAGGAATCTCCCCAATATCCTCAGCCGTGAAGATTGAAGCAAAGAAATCAGTTAGTTTCTCCACAATGGCTTTATCGTCCTTGATTGCTCCTTTTATAGCTCGATCATCTAGGGGACCCACAGGCTTTTTAGCAGGCTTCCTGCTTCTAATGTACTTAAAAAACATTTTGTTATTTCTTTGTGAGTTTTTGGCTAGCTGTTCCTCAAAATCTTTTTTTGCTTTTCTTATTACATGTTTACACTTGATTTGACAGTGTTTATGTTTCTTTCTATTTATCTCACTAGGATAAATAGTTCTATTATCACTAGGATAAATTTCCAGGGCAGAAACCCTGGAAATGCCCAGACATGCAGACGGAGACAGGGCACTACTTCCTTCGGAGGCGACATCTACATTGCAGCTTTTGTTGGCAGAGACAATCAAATGAAGCGCTCATTAGCATTTCTCGTGCTCTCATTTGCATAGTCTCTTCCAATCTGTTTTGTGGAAGAGGTTTTTGCACAAAATAACGCAGTGTATACGGGGCCATTTTGTGCAAAAAAAGTCTTTGCACAAAGGAATAAGGGTTCTTACCCAAAACGGTTTTTTGTGCAAAATGTCCCTGTCTATACTGCATTTTTTTGCAAAATCCTCTTCTGCAAAACAGATTGGAAGAGACTATGCAAATGAGAGAGCGAGAAATGCTAATGAGTGCTTCAAAGGCCGACAAAGGCTGCAGTGTAGATGTAGCCAGAGAGACTCCAAGTTTCTACAGACTTATCCCATACTGACTCAAAGAGTACAAGTATTCAGGGAGCAAATCACATCCAACTTTGCATCTTTACTGGGTACCAAGTTAACTAACAAAAGTTTACTCCTCGTTACTTCTGTAATAATCTATTGCAAAGGAGCATCTTTGCACATTTGTTTGTCTTTTACACTATTTACTCTATTATGAAACTGCCCCCTCTCCAAAGGCTCCAAAAATGTTAATTTGCAGTTTGTGAAACGGGGCAACAGTAAGCCTAGGAGTTTGTATACACTGACATTTTTGCAGCTCCATCAGTGCTTCCATTCATAGAATCATAGAATCCTAGAACTGGAAGGGACCTCAAGAGCTCATCGAGTCCAGTCCCCCGCCCTCATGGCAGGACCAAGCACCATTGAGATCATCCCTGATAGATGTCTGTCTAACTTGCTCTTAAATATCTTCAGTGATGGAGATTCCACAATCCCCCTAAGCAATTTCTTACAGTGTTTAACCACCCTGACAGTTAGGAAGTTTTTCCTAAAGGGCTGTTAACCTAAACCTCCCATTGCTTCTTGTCCTATCCTCAGAGGCCAAGAAGAACAATTTTTCTCTCTTCTCCTTGTCACACCTTTTTAGATACTTGAAAACTGCTATCATGTCCCCTCTCAGTCTTCTCCTTTCTAAACTAAACAAGCCCAGTTCTTTCAGTCTTCCCTCATAGGTCATGTTCTCTAGACCTTTAATCCTTCTTGTTGGTCTTCTCTCGACCTTTTCCAATTTCTCCACATCTTTCTTGAAATTAGGTGACCAGAACTGGACACAATACTCCAACTGAGGCCTAATCAGTGCAGAGTAAAGTGGAAGAATGATTTCTCGTGTCTTGCTCTCAACACACCTGTTAACGCATCCCAGAATCAAGTTCATGCCATGCTGGCATTAGCATACACCAACCAGAAGTGTTTCAGCCATTTAATTATCTTGTCTCTGAGCAGAGTTTGACAAAACAGTAGTAAAAATGCCAATGACCAATCTACGCTAACATTCTCATGGTGCTCATATTAGACCAGTAATAGACAGACTAAGTGTCAATGCCTCAAGCTGGAAGGGTTTTTTGAATGTTTCCTCAGTTTTATAACATGCTCCACCTACCCTCCAGGGATTGAAATGTTCATGGCCCCACTATAATATTCTACATTATTTTTCTCCTGTTAATAGCACTTACCATCATATGTTACATAGGGCACCTGGAATCCTTTGGCACTATTCCCTTCATTTGACTTGAACTGGATCCACAGTTTTTTAGACCTAGATGTGAAAGCTATAGGACGTTCATAAGTTTGGCAGGTTTCATATGTGGTCACAGAATTGGAGGAAGCTTCCAAAGAAAATGTACAATAGGCAGCTGTCAGACAACTCTTCATGTTACTTAGCAATTAAAAACACATCCAACCTATCATAACAAAAATGCTTACACGGTAGGAGGCCAAGCAGAATAAAACAAGTTAAATAAGTGCAGTTTTACCCCTTATTTTACAAGCATTAGCGTGCTGAGATTTTGCTGTTGGTCTAGATGGTTTTGAGCAACAGCCAAAGTGAAATGCTGCTCAGAGCTACAGGAGGCCAACTTCCACCCCAAGAGTCTAAGCGAAAGGACGACTGGAGTTATTAGTTGAAATACTTTCAGGCTCTTTGCACAGAAAATTCATCTGGCTTCTGAAGGCACACTCTCCCAGACGAAGTGTGGCAGGATGACCAAAACAGGAGACAGCCCAGCTCAGTGCCTAAGAGTATGTCTACACTGCAAAAAGCTATGCATTTACAAGCCTACCTCAGCTAGCCTGAACACAGGCCCTGCTAGCACAGGTAACAAGCAATGGAGACAGTCTAGCGTAGGGAGTACAAGCTCACTACAGGCTCTGGGGAGATGTTCCGGGGGCTTCCTCTCCCAGAAGCCTGCACTGTGACGTGTTCACTGTTATTGTCACCTGCACCAGCTGGATTCAAGCAAACTTGGGGAGGCTGGCTTCTGATGCCTAGGCACAGGGAACCCGAGCTGCAGGAATTGTGGAGTTTGTTGACAGCATGTTCATGGCTGATCTCCACAACCCCTTCACAGAATCACATCAATTCTCAGTTCAAGCTTTTTATCCCAAATGGCTCTGTGAAAAAGCTTTTCCTAATATCTAATCTAAATCTCCCTTGCTGCTGATAAAACCCATTACTTCTTGTCCCACCTTCAGTGGAGATGGAAAATGAATTGCTGCGCTCTTTGGAACAGCCTTTAACATATTTGAAAACTGTTATGATTCCCCAAGTCTTCTTTAATTCAAGGCCACAGGAGCCCAGATTTTATTTTTTAAATCTTTCCTCACAGGTCAGAGTTTCTAACCCTTTTACCCTCTGGACTCTCTCCAGGTTATTCACATCTTTCGGAGAGTAGCACCCAGAAGTGGACAGCACTCCAGCTGAAGCCTCACCAGTGCAGAGCTAAGTGGGACAATTACCTCCTGTGTCTTACATAACATGCCCCTAGAATGATATTCATCTTTTCCCCAACTGCACCACACTATTAACTCATATTCAGTTTCTGATCAACTATAACCCCTAGATCCTTTTCAGCAGTACTACTACCCAGCCAGTAATACCACATTCTGTAATTGTGCCTGGCATTTTTTTTCCTAAGTGGTACTCTCCACTTGTCTTTATTGAATTTGATCTTGTTGATTGGTACAATGAACCTCAATCCAGATGGCATAAGTATTCGATCCAGACCAGAGCAACCATAACTCTCTACCATTCATCTACCCTTGCAAATGCTATGAGAAGGTTTCTCACAAAGATCAAAGGCACATTTCAGATTTAGGCCCTCAATTCATCTGGACCCAATTCAACATGAAGATGCCGTTGGAAAGAATTTCCAAATTCATTGTCAAATGAAACCTATTGCTCTACTCTTTAGAGCTGGGTTTTCAGATGACTGGTTTTTAGTTTATGCACCTGGCATGGAGTTCTGTACTGCACACTGAGATGGCAGAATTCTGCACTAATTCCTGGAATTCGTGGAATGAGGAGTACAGCTAGTTTGGATTAGGAAGCCTAATCCGAACTAGCTACTCCGTGCCGCATGTAGCCGCGCGGCATGGGGTTCGAACTAGCCGGCATTTAAAAATGGCGCCGGCTGGCTTTATGCAAATGAAGCCCAGGAAATTCAAATCCCGGGCTTCATTTGCAATTGCGGATGAGTACATTACCCCCGCTAGTTCGAACTAGAGGGGTAGTGTAGACATACCCTGAGAGATTTGCAGCCATCTCTACAGTCACTGTCAGTGAGATCAACGGACAGATGAATCCATTCCTGTTTCTATATGAAACAAGTGCACCCCTTTGCTGTGCATCAAACGGGTTCCTACTTATGCCTTTGTTTTTTTAAATCATGTGAGCCAGGCTGAAAAATTAAATGAGCAGAACTAATTACTAACCAAGCCCTATGGTGGCTATGAGGTGACAGCCACTGGCAAAGGGGATGTAAAACACGACCATGTGAGAGTTCTCCACTCACGCATGTCGGGGTAACTTTTTTATACACAGTTGTGCTCAGGGGTAAGTAACTACATAGCGTGTATGATATAAGAAATTCAAATATATAGTGCCCAACTCCAGCACGATGTCTGCAGCAGCTCATGACAGACTGCCTTCTGCCCCATCCATTCAGAGGGGACAGTGTTCATGGTCCTTACACCGGACCCACTCTTTTTAGGTTACAGCATGTGCTATGACTGCAGCACTTGGTCCTTATATAGCTGCAACTACCAGAAGCAGACAAATACAGTCAGGGTTTCTTCAGAGGATTTTCTTTTCCCCTCAGTCTCCCTTGCCTTTTACCCCGCCCTCATCTTCCCACACTGCAGCCGCCACTATTTAGAAACCAAAAGGGACTCCCTATGTTCTGTAATAAGAAGGGGGGTTACTGTTAAGAAGCCCAGAGAGCAGATCAAGTTACCTGAGCAGCATTCCTCACTCTGCTAGTCCAGGAAGAGAAAAAGGAGACTAAGACTCAACTAAATCTTTTGCATTACATCGCAAAGCCAAAGTCTACCCCTAGTATCCAGGTGTGGCCCAACACTTCTGTAAGTGAATCTTTCATGTGCTCACTGGAAAATTCAGCTACTATTGGCACAATAATACTTACAAGCCTGATTCACAGAGCCTCAATAAGTCATCTGGGGATGTAACTCACCTGTGGTGTAAATAGGTACAACTCTGGTGACTTCCCTGCAGTTATATCCATTTGTACCAAAGCTGAATTCAATCCCTAAACCCCTGATTTTGGATGCTAATGTCTCTGGCCTTCTTCATTTGTAACTGGCTGAGAAATCCATTTGTGATACTTACTTTTACACTGTGTTATATTTGTAGTGGTGTTTAAGGGGCATGAAATACAATAATTTTGACCAAACTCGGGTTGGTAGGTCGCAGCTGTGCAGCGAATACACCGGTGCATTGTGGTATTATAAAAATGACCAGGTGAACATTGAACTGTAGGGGTTTGCAAACATGGAGCAGTTACAAAAGTGCTATAATGACACTGGAAAGTATGTCTGTTTTGTGTATGTTTTTATAAACTAATAAATGACTAATGCTGCCCTTGTGTGGAACTTCACTAATAAAATGAAGGCGTATGAGGATGACTGGCTTCTTACTGCATTTCCAATACATTAGTGCTTTTCGGCTGCGTCTACACTACAAAAAAAGTTGGAAAAAGATACGCAAATTGCAAACTGCAATTTGTGTATCTTTTTCCACTTTTCTTTGAAAGAGGATTTTCTGACATTTGGCCCATCTGCATAGGGCCAAATGTCGGGAAAAAACCTTCTTTTGGAACATCCCTTCTTCTTCATTGAACAAGGTTTACAGGGATGCCGAAAAAAAATTTTTTTTTGGAAAAGCAGACGCGTTCTTTGGATGTGGCAGAGCTCTGCACTGTAGACATAGCCTTAGTGAGACCACAAGTATAGCTCACAGTGCCACATGCTATTTCCTGTCCAGAAGTCAGAAACAACAAAGAGAGAGAGAATTTGTGTCTGTTTGTTTGTCCGTTGGGTTTCTTCAGCAAACAGCAATAGAGAGAGAGAAAGCAATAGATAGTGAGAAAAAGAACATTTCATTGAATGGCTCAGCCCTGATAGTTTTACACGTGGCAAATCGACTGTACATACTTATATCAACTGAACACTTCTGAGCAGTGTTCCCTCTAAGATGTGTGGCAGCCCAGCTTCACAGGCGACTAATCAGCTCCCTGTAGGGAGCCCTGAGCCTCTGACTGGTTACACCTGGTTACTGCTGTAATCACCTGTTATGCAGCTTAGAGGGAACACTGCTTCTGAGGCACTGATTTCTACTGAGCAGTACTGTACTACATGAATAGTATGTCTGAAATTCATTGTCTAGTATGGCACTACTCACTAGGATTATGAGGTACCACAGAATCACTCACTGTAATCCATGCCTCCTGGTTTCATATGTCTCCTGAACTTGTAAGGATGTGAGGCAAAATCCTGCATTGGACTTACATCCTGGGCATCCCCATTAGAATCACTGTGTTTATTGTTAAAAAACCCACAATGGTGCTCACATTAAACCTATGAGTTTTAATAGAAATGTTAAGAAACTCCTTTGCTATTAAAATACCATCAGCATAGGATTCTCATTGTAGGTTACAGATATTGGGGCTCCAGTGCCAATTATGGGGGAGCTCTCTTAACTCAAGTTTGGGGGGGGACTTCTGACAAGTGCTGCCCATTCATCCTGCTCCAGAGCATCCCAGCAACTTCTTTTTTCAGTCTGGTCATAAAAGACTCCCTTCCCACAGGGGATAGTCAATGGTTCTGGCTGCTGCAGAACCATCCCTCAGAACCTACTGCTGTTTAGCCAGACCCTGGGTTCTTTTAATCACTTCCCTGGTCTCCCATCAGCACATAGTCAGTCTAGGGCAGCGTTTCCCAAACTATGGGCTGCAGCCCAGTATCGGGCTGCAGGAAAAAATTACCGGGCCTCAGCATGGTTGCCGGAGTGTTCTGGGCTCCCAGAGTGCCTGTGTGGTGCCAGGTCCCCCAAGCCCTTGGCCAGCCTAGGCGGAGTCTGCAGCTGGATCTTCCAACTCCCAGCAGATGCGTAGCTAGGGGAGGTTGGGGAGGGGGGGAAGGAGGAGGGGAGAGCTGGCCATCAGAAGCAGCACTGGATGGGAAAATCAGGGGAGGGCAGGGAGATTGTGGGAGG